GACAGACAGAGACAGAGACAGAGAGAGACAGAGAGACAAAGAGAGAGAGAGTGTGTGTATGGTGAGAGAAAAAGAGAGTGTGAAAGAGTGTGTGTGTGAGAGAGAGTCTGTGTGTGTGTGTGAGAGAGAGAGAGAGTAATTTAAGGCAGGATTTTATCCTTATAGGGACGATATGTAAGAGAGACACAGAGGATGTGTGTTTTGGACATATGTCAAAGGTAATTGTAGCTTGGAACACCAAGAGTTAGAGAGACATTCACATGGCTGATAGAACCATGTTAGGAGAAGGTCATCAAGTAATTATGAAGGATCCCAGCTACCAGGGAAATGGGGAAGGAACAGGAAGGTATCCCAGAGTATAAAATCATGCAGAAGCCTCTGGCAACTATAGGAAAGCAACAGTGAGCAGATACATCGAGACAAAAATCTCTTACAGACCCACAACTTAAGAGTCTGACAGAGTTCTGACCCACCCAGCCCTAGATCTTCTACTCGATGGCTGGCTTGCTTCTGGCAGTGATTTCCTAGCTCAGAGATCAGCACACACATTTGTAAATCAGAATCATCCATGCTTCTCCTTTTAAGGGGCTGTTCTATGAACTTTAAATATGAGGTAATATAAACACATTTTATAAACTGAAAAATGCAAGTGTGGCATGATTCCATTCACTATCTGTGCCTGAGGAGAAAATCCTTTCTCTAGAATCTCATGCATTGTCACTGGGAGTGGCCTCACTATTTTCCATTGCTCAGTATGTAATAGAAAACCCTTCTCTATATAGGAATCCCAAACATTTGAAGGTTCTTTCACTACTACCCAGGAAAATCTCCCACCATGCTTGTTAACTCCACAGGCTATTGAAACCAAGAGTTGCCTCCCTGGGATCTTGTAAACTGACAAAGCTGGGTTGCCACCTGCCCACAGGTACCACTGTTTCTCTACATTTTTGAAATATTTGCAAAAATTACAAATTGAGCCATGTTGCATTAAAAGTTGGACTTTTGGCTCATCTTCAGAAACTGGAGGATGGCAATAGTTGGCTTACATCCATGTAAATAATCCATGGGGGTCCCATACTGGGACATCTCAGTTTCCTGAGTTCCTTCCAACTCTGAGGCCAGATGACATTGCTACTGGCTCTGTCATGCTTCAGTTTTTTGTTCTGTTTTGAATGCACATTCTGTATTCCTGATCTGTGATAATGCCCAGACACTTTATAGAATTTGTTGTGATTGCTGGTCTTCTGACAGCATATTTTTTATGACAAACAAACATGGCTGCTTCTTTGAGAGATTCCTCTTCAGACATAGGACCTGGATGCTCTCGACCCAGGACTTTGTCCTCTGGCTTCCTCCCACTGGTCATTCTCTTCTACTGTGATGTGCTGAACCGGACACACACTCCAGATAAGATCATGTCAACCCTGGGGACATGGTGATAAGGCTTCAGTCTCCCTTGACAAGAGTGCTCTGCAGACAGTGTTGCACCCGAATAACATTGTATTCACGTTGGCAACCCCTACCCTGCATCTAATACAGCCATAGAGTATTCACCATAATGAGACACACTCATTTATCAATTTTGTTTGGCTTGATTTGATTTTTAGGGATAGGATCTCACTGTGTACCTTTGGCTGGCCTGAAGCTCACTATGTAGACCAGGCTGGTCTTGAACTCACAGAAATACCCCCTCACTCTGTCATTTATAAATTTTAATCTAAGTATAGGATCCCCAATTTATCTCTGACCATTGCATATGGTAGTTCTGACCCACCACCCCATCTTGTTGACATTTGATAATTGATTCTATTAACCAGTGAATTAGAAACCCCCAGAGGCTTTCATTTCTTTACTCTTTGAGCCAATATTGTCCTAGAAAACATCTTTTTTTTTTAAGTTTAATTTGAAAGAGAGAAGGATGTGGAGAGAAAGGGGGGCAGCTGTGAAGCACAGGGAGGATCTCAGTGTGACAGGAAAAGCCACTGACGCCCTAACTCAGAGGGAGATTGTGAGAGCATGTTTGAACAGAGGCTGGGAGAGCAGCAGATAAACTGTCTGGGCTCCGAGTCAAAGGTCAGGCTGTATTTTATGTGATGGAGAAGGACAGAAGGGAAAACGGACAAAGAAAGAATACATTCTTTGTCCAAGGCATGCGTGTGGGACAAAGGGAAGTTGTTCCCTCACAGAAGCCCATCCAGTGCTTTTTGCCAGAGAGTGAGTTTGTGCTGTGACAAGGTAACACCTTTTTTTGTGTTTAGTTGAATTTCTCAAAGCTCTTCATGGAGGATCTTGCAGGGATCCATCAAGAGGGATGAATTCATGTCAAAGTTCAGCACCTTTCCGGAGCCTCTGCTGTAGACTCTGCCTGTTCTGTGGTAAACTAATAGCAACCAAAGTCCACAGCTGGAGAACACAAGGACCATTGGTGCAGGGTTTAAGTTGCAAGGAGGTGTCTTTCCTTAGCCCTTACCTGTTTTTCTTCACATCCTGCCTCTGGTGCTAGAGCCCACATGCTTAACTAAGGTGACAGACTAATTTAGTGACAATATCCCTCTCCCCCCTACCAAATATGTGATAGTTAATGAACAACTCTGGCTGGCCCTTAGTTTGAGATTCTTCTGACTTCGCCCTTAAAGTGCATGGCCTTATTTGACACATCTTTCATCTCCTGGACAATTTCTTCATTTGTTTTCTGAAGGTCCACAGCCAACACCTAGCCAGTAGTCCGTAGGCCCTGGAATGCCTGCTAATACTATTGCTGTAAGCTGATTAGCAAGAAGCGAGTTGGAGGGCCAAGTGCTTGGGCTGCACATCATGGTGAGGGTGTTAGAAGGAAAGAAATAACAGTGCTTGGGGCTCTGGGTCTTTGCAGGTCAAAGAATTCAATTTTGTTAGCTCACCCTGAGGTGGGTATAAGTCCTGGAGGTTTGATTAATGCTAAGCAAATCATAAAGTCTCATTTTAAAACCATAATGCTGATTTGATTAAAAGTCAGATGCCCTTCTGATAATCAGGGATTTGGAGCAAGAGTCTTTGCATGCTTTGTGAGAATGTTTTCTAGGTGGGAGAACCCAGCTAAGTTTGCTTACTTTGTTGTTGAACATTTTTCGTATTGAACATACTTGTTTGTACCTACCTTGTCTAGTGTGCTTTTCCTCCTGGGAGGTGAGTACATATTGAAAAGGCCTTTCTTTTCTCCTCTTCATTCTTCTGTCTTCTAACCATCCAACTGAAGACTAACATTACCCAGGACATGGTCATAATATCACATTTTAGTTTTGGTTCATTGTGGTTTCAGTCTCATCATTGAACTGTAGTGGCCAGCTTAGCTGGAGCAACAATTGAGAACACCCTTGTGTAAGAATGGTCCGCATCTTATATCATGCATGCTGCCATATACTGTATTGGTTGCTGTGTTCACACATATTTAATTACTTTATGCATGCATAGACATTAGATGTGGTGAGAGTTCTGAATTTTAGAATGCTCTAAAGATCCTCTTCCTAGTCTATATTGACAGAAGGGGAGGGTCAAGGCCCTTTTGTCAAGGAGATGGGTTTCCTTTCATTTCTCTTTGCCATTCCTTGTGGTTTTCAGGTGGTGAGTCCCAACAGAGTTGAGATTGCTTGGCATTTAGAGCCTTCTGGCTATCATCTGTGACGTGTTAGCAGGAGGTGTGGGTACAGCCCAGTGGAGAAGTGGTAAGGGTCAGATAGCTTTCCAGTCTAAACATGTCATTGGCTAGCTCACGGCTTAGTCCAGTTTCCAAGGAGACTGCATTGCACTTGGGTCAACAGTACCAGCTAGAACTAAAGATTTGATTGATCTCTTGTCTGTGTGCACGAAGTCGTGAACTGGTCTGTGGCCATAATCCATCATTCAGGATTCAGGTTTTGGTTTTGGCCACTGCTGTTATCTTCTGACCTGGGAGGTATGAGTGATAAAGAGACATGCTAAGTTCAATTAATTGGAAAGAAATACTTCTGGGCATAAGGCAGTGTGAAAACTTCAGGTTACTCATAATTGAACTATTAAGGAAAGATAACATGTTCATTGATCTGGAAGCCGTTGATG